GGGCACCCCAACAGAAAAATTACATCAATATTTAGTAGATCCTCCTTTTGCAGAAATAACAGCCTGTAAACGCTTTCTATAGCTTCCAATGAGGATCTGAATTCTGGTTGTTTGACCACTCTTCTTTACAAAACATCTCCAGTTCAGTCAGGTTTGATGGTTTCTGAGCATGGACAGCCCGCTTTAAAACAGACCACAGATTTTCAATGATATTCAGGTCTGGGGACTGAGATGGCCATTCCAGAACGTTGTACTTGTTCCTCTGCATGAATGCTTTGCTAGAATTTGAGCAGTGTTTAGGGTCGTTGTCTTGTTGAAGTATCCAGCCCTGGCGCAACTTCAACTCACTGATTCTTGAACATTGTTCGCAATAATTTGCTGATACTGACTGGAATTCATGCGACCTTCAACTTTAACAAGATTGCCAGTACCTGCACTGGCCACACAGCCCCACAGCATGATGGAACCACCACCAAATTTAACTGTGGGTAGCAAGTGTTTGTCTTGGAATGCTGTGTTTTTCTTCCGCCATGCGTACCGCCCCTTGTTATGTCCAAATAACTGAATTTTAGTTTCATCAGTCCACAGCACCTTATTCCAAAATGAAGCTGGCTTGTCCAAATGTGCTTTAGCATACCTCAAGCGATACCTGATGCACAGTGACACCATATGCAGCAAGATCTTTGGAGCTGGTCTGTGGGTTGAGCTTGACTGTTCTCACCATCCTTTGCCTCTGCTTATCTGAGATATTTCTTGGCCTGTCACTATGGGCCTTAACTAGAACTGTGCCTGTGGTCTTCCATTTCCCCACTATGTTCCTCACAGTGGAAACTGACAGCTGAAATCTCTGAGCTAGCTTTTTGTATCCTTCCCCTAAACCATGATGTTGAACAATCTTTGTTTTCAGGTCTTTGACAGTTGTTTTGAGGCTCCCATGTTGCCAGTCTTCAGAGAAGATGCGAAGGGGAGAACAACTTGCAACTGGCCACCTTAAATACCCTTTCTCATGATTGGCTTCACCCGTGTATGTACGTCAAGGGTCAATGTGCTTACCAAACAAATTTTATGTTCCAATAATTAGTGCTAAAGGTATTCAAAACAATAAAACAACAAGGGTGCCCAAATTTATGCACCTGCCTACTTTTGTTTAAGTAATTATTGCACACTTTCTGTAAATCCTATAAACTTCATTTCACTTCTTAAATATCACTGTGTTTGTTTGCTATATGATATATTTAATTGAAATTGCTGTTCTGAACAACCAATGATACATAAAGGAAAATCTTGAAAATGATCAGGGTTGCCCAAACTTTTTCATACCACTGTATCTCTCACGTCACTCCTATAAACCTCATGGCAAAACCACCTATTGGCACGCCCCGTGTTTTATGAATCTACTCTTCTCCTGAAATATTCTTTATGTAAATACAAGAATGTAGTTTCACTCCTGCTGCCACTCCCTCTAAAAGACCTCATACCTGATTAAGTCAAGAAATATTTGGTATTTTTTAGAATTATTTTTTAGAATTTCTTTGTTTTGGTTTCAACTTCAACAGTGCATCAAAACCCAGACATATCTGTTACTGGCAGGGAATTGTGTTTAGGTGGCAGCTGCCGCTTGTTTTTCAAAAAGAGAGGCATTGTCTTAAATTGATGAATAAATACCAAAATTAATTTTGAGAGAAGAAAAGATCTGAAAATAAATCTGATTTGTAAAAATTCTCCTATTGTAAAACCTTTCTTTACAAAAGTAAGTGAATAAAACAGGCTTCTGTGTTTGTGCCACAGCGCAATTGGCCAACACTGTGTGATGTATTGCAAGGTTTGTTTTGAAGTTGTGTTTATGTTTTAAGAAGCTTTTACTCTTCAGTGCATCCACCAAAGTGAAGTTAGGGGCGAGACACAATATTAAATTTTGACTTTCAATGTGGTTCAATAAAAAACCACTGCAGGCAGTTAAGAAGTTTCACAAAGTTCGCCACCAAACAACCAAAGAAAAACTCTGTTGCCAAATAAATAATCCCAAGAAATAAATATCTCTTTATAAATATATAAACACACACCCTCACAAACGTCCTGCAAAGAGTGATATATCAGATCCAGATTCCACAGCTGTGATGGAACGGTTTGACAAAAGAGATCCGTGGTCCATCAAGATAAGCGAAACACTTTGCTCCCCTCTCATCCAACCCTCTTTTGTATTTTGATCACATTCTCGTCCTTTTTTCTTACTCTTTCCTTTACCCCAGATGCCTGGCCTTCTACTCTGTTCTCCACATTTCCCCTGATTTCATCTCTTTGGTTCATTAGAAGGTGAAGTGGAGAAAAGGTTGGTAATTGTTCTGAAACTCTTAAGGAGACACAGATTGAAGGGAAATTTCATTTTATATTCCAGATGAAAGACTGCAGCTGAACTACATACAAAGTTTATGCTTCAATATATATACTTTTTTTTTTGTGAACAACTTCTCATTGTGAGACAGCACACCACTGCACACAACAAAATGTGACCTCTGCTTTTAACCCATCACCAAAGTGAACAGAGGGCAGCTTTAAGGGCCCCGGGAGCAGTGTGTGGGCATGGTGCCATGCTCAGAGCACCTCAGTGGTAACTTGGCAGCTTGTGGACTCGAACCTGAAGCCTATGATTGATATTAAGAGCTAGCTAAAACCTTTTTAATTAGCTCATGTAGAATTCTATTGCAAAAAGATTGAAGCCAATTCACTCACTTGATGTAGTCCCACCTCCACCTTGAAGTCATTTGTCCTTCCAACAGCACACCTCACTACTGTTGTACTATGCTCATACATGTCCTGCACCAAACTAACATACTTCTCTGTCATTCCTGACTTCCTCATACAAAACCACAATTCCTCTCTTGGCACTTTGTTATATGCCTTTTCTAAATCTACAAATACACAATGTAGCTCCTTCTGACCTTCTCTGTACTTCTCTATCAGCATCCTCAAGGCAAATATTGCATCTGTGGTACTCTTCCTAGGCATGAAACCATACTGTTGTTCACAAATCTCCACTTCCTGCTTCAAACTAGCTTCAACTACTCTTCCCCAAATCTTCATTGTATGGCTCATCAACTTTATCCCTCTGTAGTTGTTACAACTCTGTGCATCACCCTTCTTATGAATTGGCACCAGAACACTGTTCCTCCACTCATCAGGCATCTTGTCAGTCTCTAAAATTCTGTTAAACAACCCAGTCAGGAACTTTACCGCCACTTCTCCTAAGCACTTCCATACTTCCATTCCTACTAGTCTCTGGCTCCTCGTTTCTACTTTCCCTTTCATTTTCCTCATTTAACAACTCCTCAAAGTATTCCTTTCATCTTCTCAGCACACTTTCCTCACTTGTGATTACGTTCCCCTCTCTGTCCTTAATCAACCTCACCTGCTGCACATCTTTTCCCAGCTGATTTCTCTTTCTTGCCAATCTATACAACTCATTTTCTCCTTCCTTTGTTTCCAGACTCTCGTACAACTCCTCATATGCCTTTTGTTTAGCCCTGGCCACTTCCCTCTTCACCTTCCTTGTCCTCTCTTTGTACTCCAGTCTGTTCTCTTCTGTTCTGTCACTGTCCCATCTCTTCTTCGCTAATCTCTTTCTCTGCACACTCTCCTGGATCTCCTCATTCCACCACCAGGTCTCTTTGTCCTCCTTTCTCTGCCCAGAGGACATACCTAGCACCTTCCTACCTGTCTCCCTAATCACTGCAGCTGTAGTCTCCCAATCATCTGGGAATATCTCAACACTACCCAGAACTGCCTTTACTTCCTTCCTGAAGTCTTCACAACATGTCTCTTTCCTTAGTTTCCACCACTTGATCCTCTGCTCTGTCTTCACTCTCTTCCTTTTTGTCACCTCCATCGTCATTTTACACACTACCATCCGATGTTGTTTGGCTACACTCTCACCTGCCACCACCTTACAGTCTCTAATCTCCCTCAGATTACATCTTCTACATAGAATATAATCTATCTGTGTGGACCTGCCTCCACTCTTGTAAGTCACCCTATGTTCCTCTTTCTTTTGGAAATATGTGTTTACCACAGCCATTTCCATTCTCTTTGCAAAATCTACCACTGCCTGTCCTTCTACGTTTCTCTCCCTAACACCAAACCTGCCTATCACTTCCTCATCTCCTCTGTTCCCTTCCCCTACATGACCATTTAGGTCTGCTCCAATCACCAGTCTCTCTCTCCTGGGGATACTCTCTACCATCCAATCTAGCTCCTTCCAGAACTTCTCCTTTTCTTCCAACTCACAGCCCACCTGTGGGGCATAACCACTAACAACATTAATCATCTCTCCTTCTACTTCTACCTTCACACACATCAACCTGTCTGACTCTCTTTTCACCTCTACCACATTTCTTACATATTCTTCCTTTAGGATCACCCCTACTCCATTTCTCTTCCCATCTGAACCATGATAAAACAGTTTGTAGCCTCCTCCAATGTTGCTAGCCTTGCTGCCCTTCCACCTGGTCTCCTGTCAAAATGTCTACTCTTCTTCTCTCCATCACATCAGCTAGTTCTCTACCTTTACCCTGTCATTGTACCTACATTCAGAGTTCCAAACTTCAGACCAACACTTCTATTTTTCATCTTTTCTCTTTTTCTCCTAACCAACGCCCTCCTCTTCTCCTCTGTCTTTGACCAACAGTAGCCCAATTTCCATCAGTGCCCTGTAGATCAACGGCACTGTTGGCAGTCGTTGTTAACCCGGGCCTCGACCGATCCGGTATGGAAATTGGGTTAGTGATTTGCATATTTGATTTGGCTTAAAGTTTTACGCCGGATGCCCTTCCTGACGCAACCCTCACCATTTATCGGGGCTTGGGACCAGCACTATAAAACACTGATTCGTGTACCCTAGTGGCTGGTTTAAAACACTGAATACACAATGCATTGAAAAATGTTATGTTGATTTCTGGTATAGTTTCAATTTGAGGCTGAGCTATGAAGAATCTATTGTGGGTTACCTTGAATGGTAGTGATTTTTCACTGCAAGGGCTGATGGGTAGAGACTGCAGGCTGCTGGCGGGACTTGTCTCTGTGCTCTTTAAAAAAAAAAGGAAGATGGATATAAGATTAACCTTAGGTCTGTGATCTCTTATGTAAAGACTAAATGGCTAAAATGGCTAAAAGTGGTGAAGGTAAATGTAAATGTCACAGGTTGTGGCATGTCAATTTTTTTTTTTTAACAAAACTTTTACTTTACTTTTACTTACTTACATAAATAAATAAATAAATAAACTTCAGGGTTTTTTTCCGTAAAATTAATTCCCAGACAACCACATGAAACTTTGTACCACTTCTCATCTGCCTGCTTTTTTCTCCAAAAAATACTGGAAATAACAATTTACGCACTGTCTATAAAGACCTTTTAGTGGAGACCAAAAGCTTTTAGGAAAGATATAAAATAAGGTACTATTTAAACCAGTGCAGCCTAAATGGCCTAATTACAATACCAGAAGAGCACTTCTAGCATATATTCTGTATATCCATAGATTACCATACATTTTAAGACAACAAAGGAATGCCTTTGTTCTATCTTTTATTCTCTACAATCTGTCTGCAGATTTGTTGCCTACTATTCATTTCAGACAGGTGTCTTGTGGGCAGAGACGGAACCCACACACATGCACTTCAGCCATGCACACACGCAGAGCATTTGGTATTTAACATGGATCCATAAGATCCCACAAGGTGCAGTCAAACAGAAACAGACAGAAAAGTCCTGCGCCAGCCTGTTATGGGACAGATGGTGGACCAAAAAAAGCAAAAAAGTTATGTCTGCAGACAGAACTGCTGAGGCAGTATGTTTAAAGGATATGATGTGACATTTTAATATGCATGTCAAGGAAACCATTTGTTAGGCTCCTGATATTAAATAAATATATTCATTATTGCACTTTGTTTGTTAAAGGCTGTGCTAACTGTACAATGATAGGATAGGTGGACTAGCTGTAGGTCAGACTTGGTTTTGTTTCATTTATTTTTCAGACATGGCAGCAGTCATTACGACCTGTCCTCCCCACCATCATTTCTGTTTGCACTTCACCTCTGAGTGACTTTTAAATTGATTGTTGTACGACTCTGTCTCTTAAGTGAGGGGGGGACTTAACACTCGCAATCAAGATGTGCTTAAAATTATTAAAGAGTATGAGGACATTGCTGTTCTAGAAGGGGTAAAAATATTGCTTCTCTTTGCAAAGCAGTATTTTAATGGTTTTTCAGTTTGGCTGACCTTCTAATGACACACGCTTCCCCATCAGAATTATAGGTGAGCAGTTGTCTCGGGCCCACAATGTGTAAATCAATGCCTTTCCCCAAGAACAGAGGCAGGCGCACACTCACTAACCTCCAAAACTCACGCACGCACGCACACTCCAATACACATTCCCTTAAGGTCACCATGTTCCACAGGCCTGAAACACAAAACTGTCCTCACAATTAGACGTGGATCAGTGAAAAAGCATTTAGATTTAAGAATGGGTGAAACTGCCTCACAGCTCTGGACTTAATGACTTTGGATGATGAATGGGCCCAGAAAGAAAAGATGGTTTTCTAGTATGATGCACCTCTTTAATCATATTCACACATCACTTGGATGAAGAAATCTTCTCTACTCTAAGTTCAGTTGTACAGTATGACAACTCTTGTCTGTCACTGACATTTGGGTTTTTTATTGCCAGGCAGGATTATTAACACTGTATATTGTCATGGCATTTCGAGTAAATTATCTGGCAAACAAAGTATAAAAAACATTACCCCACAAACTCTACGTGTGTGTGTGTGTTCTCGGACCTTTCATTAAAAGTTCAATCAATCAAAAATATACAGTGTAAATATATATATAGACGTGTTACACAACTGCATGTGTTTACATGAAATGATATTTCATTTCTAACCAAAAACAAATCAAAAGAATAAGTAATATAGTCCACGTCCACAAAAGCTGTGTATCCAAATTTTCTCAGATGACTGACAGCTGTTGTTCTTTGTAAAACAAGATTGAGCAGCCTCAAGGTGAGCATCACACTATGCGATATATGGCTGACACAGACAAATGAAGATAATTTTGTTTGGAAATATTGTTATTAGTAATATTGTAAACGTTGACAGTGGCATTTCAGAATGTTTCCCTGGGAAAGGCACGGGTTAAATAAATGGCGATAGAGAAAATTATAAAAACGAGTTAGAGCAGCATTCATAGCTGGTTACTATAACACTGACATGGACAACGGTCTATAAACACAAGGTAAAGTTGACTTGTTGATTGTTGGGCTGCAATCAATCATTACTGAGTAGTGTGTTAATTATTGTTGACAAACTCAATTTTCAAAAAATTATGTTTATTAAAAACCTTTTTAATACTAAATTATTACCTATAATAAAGTGAGAAACGATGCTAATTATACTGACAGACAAGAATGACAAACAAAAATATGTGCCTCTTAGCAAAAGATTTAAGTGAAATTACTCCTGCCTAACACATAATAACCAACTTGGTGGAATTAACAGTGAAAAAGACGAGAGAGGAGAGGATAAAAGAGAAGAGGGAAGGGGAGAGGAGAAGAGATGACAGTCATAGAAAAGAGTGGCAAAGACATGATAAGCAGGGACAGAAGAGAGAAAACAGGATTAAATGTGAAGAGGAAAAATAAGAAGAAGAGAAGAAGAAAGGATAGGAGAAGAAAGACAAGAGAAGTTAAAAAAAACATAAATAAAACATAACATTTTTGGTTTCAAACCTTGAGGATTGAGAAAAGGGAATGCCAAACATACAGACAAGGCCAATTTTTTCAGATGTAACTGCAGAATGGATTAAATTCTGCTGATAAGATGTAAAAAAGATGCAAATTTATTGACACAACAGGGCGAGCAAAGAGGCCAAAGTTTCTCTTTGATATTCATATTTCCTACCACCCTGCAGAAAATATCTGTCTGCCGTAGCTGTCTGCTGCAACACCTTTTGCCTCTGCACCACCCACTACTCTTGTTTACTATTTCATAGTTCACGTCTCACATGTCTCCTAAGGTCCTTAGAGAAACAGAGATGAGCAGGGGAAAAAAAGGAAGTCACACAAAGCGTGTCTGCGGACAGGTATCACAGACAGCTCTCAGCTTTTATCTTATTTTAGAGGCACTATTGCTGGGATGTTAGGGCAGGTCTGGTCAGCCATTCACATCTTTTTTTTTGCTCTACAGGGGTGAGCACATCACACACATGCAAAGACACACTGTGTATTTGTGAATTAGTTACCTCTGTGTGCTGTAGGAAGAACTGAAACATTTGCTAATGGATGTTCTTCCAGCTTACTTTCCATAGTTTATGGCAATAGTCCCACCTGTCTTGGTCATCTAATCGTGCTACACATTTTCCATACACTTTGACAAAGGCCATTAGTAGATATTGTATATGAACAGTTGTGCTCCGAAACAGAACAAATACAATAAATGCCAACCCTAAAAGTTTCCACTTAAGTACAGTATCGAAGCTGTGCTTACAAAACTTTGTAAGCACACATTTGTTAATCCCTTATAGCCATTTTCCAAAAGACTGGTATTGACTGTTAACTTGGAATTCACACACTTGTTTGTGTGTTTTGTCATCATGAATGGAAATCTGCCCTGATCCAGACTCTCTGCAAATTGCAATTAGCACAAATAAAGCATGCAGGCCACGTTCACACCAACTTCTTTTCTTAAACAGTCCAAATTAGGAAGCTTTTAATATAATTGCTTTCTATTTGGACTGCATAGTAAAAACCATGGCATTGTGTGACTAGTGTGCACATGACTGTGTAAAGTGGCCACTAAGATACTTCATTGATTATAACCTGTTAGTTAAAGTTATTGCATTGTCTGTCCTTGTCGATATTGGTTGTAATTTCATTGTTGTGGACATATTTACATATTGATGCCCTTATTTTTTTTTAAAAGTGTGCTGATGTACTCAAGTGTGTTAGTGCGTATAAAAAGCACCGAGAACCTCGCAGCTCTGTCTTGCAAAAGTAGACTTTGATTAAATAACAAAACAAAGTAGATTAGAGGAATGTTTTAAAAGGCAGAAAAACAGCATCTCTGCGATGATTTCGTGCGGCTGAAATTGAGTTGATTCTTCTTCTTCTTTTTCTTTCGGCTTTGTCCCTTTTTTTTTCAGGGGTTGCCACAGCAAATCATTGATTTCCATCTCTCCCTGTTCTCTGTATCTTCTACTCTGACTCCAACTATCTGCATATCCTCCCTCACTGTATCCATATATATCCTCTTTGGCCTTCCTCTCTTTCTCCTACCTGGTAGCTCCATCTCTAACATTCTTCTACCAATGTATCCACTGTCCCTCCTCTGCACATGTCCAAACCATCTCAATATGGCTTCTCTGGCTTTTTCTCCAAACCTTCCTGTCTGTGTTGTCCCTCTAATGACCTCATTCCTGATCCTGTCCATCCTTGTCACTCCTAAAGAGAATCTTAGCATCTTTAACTCTGCCACCTCCAGGTCTGCCTCCTGTCTTCTGGCTATTGCTACTGTCTCTAAACCATACATCATGGCTGGTCTCACCACCGTCCTGTAATCCTTTCCCTTTACCTTAGCTGACACTCTTCTATCACAGATCACTCCTGACACTCTTCACCAGCTGTTCCATCCTGCCTGTACTCTATTCTTCACCTCTCTTCCACAGTCTCTGCTGAAATTGAGTTGAATAGAACGTGGAAAGGAAGAATTTTGTCGGTAGAGTGTGGTGCTGCTCTGGCTTCATTTTAATTGTTACATACAGCACAATATTATCACAGGATAGTTAAAAACAATGCAAGTAGTTCTCTACTTATTTACTTTGTCACTGCAAAGAGCCATATATTATATGATATACCATGACATCATATATGTTATATATATATGTATTTATTTATATTTTGCATTTATTAGTGTAGCTCAAAAAGGGAAGAAGACAAATTGTATTTTAATATTAATGCTAATATAGCAACTATGGAGCTTACTGGATCTGTTGACATTTAAATTTCTGATAATCGGATATTTCTTATAAAAGTGAATCACAGTAAATGTTCTTCTTTTCTTGATACGACTGTAAATATTTCTCTCCAAGAAATATCACTCTAACATGACATTTTGAATTTATATATAGACTGTTCCATGGTTATAGATAATGGGTACATTATGGAGCTACATTTACAATAAGTTCATTAAACTGGCATTTAAAAATAACATAATGTTCCAACTCTGGAACAAATATTTTGCTGCTATAAATAAAAAATAACCAACCACACACTGACTCTGCTGGTGCTGCTTTTTGTTTTACACACAGCGCTTCATGAAGCAGCAGGATATTTGGGACATTTGGATAATATATGATATGCACAAACCTCCAATATCTGTCCAAAGGTTTTAAACCACTGGATTTCAACCACAGATTATTTGATTTTTAAATGCAACAGCTCATCCCCATGGCTTTCGTGGGAACCTACCTCCTGCAGTGTTCGCCTCAGTCTTAAAAGCAGGGTTTTGACAGCAGTGCAGTCCTGCTGCATCAGTCTGAGTGGAAGAGCCTCCAGCCCAGGGAGTAAAGACTCCTCTTCTTTTCCTACACCCATTGCTAAGCCCCAGTCAGTTGGCAGCAGGCTGGTTAGATGGCTTGGCTCCCTAGAGGAAGAGCAGAGTTTGATATGATGTTGTTATGAGTTGGTGTGAAATGTGATCATTGACCCATCAACACTGCTGACACTGTGCCCCACAGGTAACCAGCATAATCCCATTCTTGCTTTTGTAAATTAATTTCAGGGTACTATCAAGAAATCAGATGATCTTGAATATCCCAATAAATGTCCTACATCTGTGTGACTTTACATAGTCACACATCTAAAAACCTAGAATAAACCCGAGATAATTATTGTGAGACTGGTCAGATGTGTTTAGCTCATCCAGCTTTAATCAGTGTTTTGAACGACAGAAACTTCTGCTAAGACAAAGTAAGCCAGTTGATGTAATCCTTGCAAAATGACTGGAAGCCATAGATGATAACAGATTCACAAACACATGCACACACTGACAAGTCTATCAGGCTACAACTCCAGGATATGGCACATGTTAATAAAAGTGTTTGGCGATCTCGTTTCATGTTCAGTAAAATACATTACTGCAGGCATGGAAAACCCGTGACTCGGGAGCTGCATGCGGCTCTTTGCCCAGGTGGGATGGGGGGGCACACATGAACATGATATAGATAGTATATCATAGATAGATTAGATAGATAGATTAGATAGATGGATAGATAGATAGATAGATAGATGGATGGATGGATGGATGGATGGGTGGATGGATGGATGGATGGATGGATAGATAGAGATATAGTAGATAGATAGATAGATAGATAGAAAGATAGATAGATAGATAGATAGATGGATGGATGGATGGATGGATAGATAGAGATATAGTAGATAAATAGATAGATAGATAGATAGATAGAAAGATAGATAGATAGATAGATAGATCAGATCATATATGATATATGACTCTTTGCAGTAATACAGTATGAATTGTGGCACTTAGCCTCTGACGGGTTGGCCACCCTTGCATTATAGGATATATCTGTGATCTTGTTTTTAACAGACTGGTGGCTTAGTGGTTAAGGAAGCGAAGTTGGGTCCAGAAGGTTGCAGGTTTGAATCCACCAGCTGCCAAATTACCACTGAGGTGATCTGAGCATGGCACTGTCCCCACACACTGCTGGTGCTAAAAAAAGCTGCCCACTGTTCACTTTGGTGAAGGTTTGGTAGAAGTCACATTTGTTGTGTGTTACAACGACAAGGAGTTTACTTTCCTTCCCTTTTATATTCCAGTGTATTTGAGACTAGTCTCAGGTGCTGCCTGCAGCCTTTTGTTACGACAACCATGGAGGGAATATTGCTGTTCTTTTCTCAAGTTTTTTTTTCTTTTTTCGCCGTCGTACATCTTTCTGATTTTGGTTGTTACTGTAGTCCTGCACAGTGGCTGGTATGACGGGTCATTGGACACGGTTCTCAACACCTCTGTTAACCGATCGTCGTCCACTGTGTTTATGGGCCTGCAGTTCAAAGCTATCCATTTGGCTAGAACATTCGCCAGCCTGTCGGTCGCAGACTTGCTCATACACGGGGTGTTCTCCTCGAGTTTAGATTGGCGGGGAGCTTTGCTATGGCTCGCTAAATTGCTAACATGTTCACTGCTAACGTCAGCTGTGGCTGCACTGGCGACTGAGTGCTTTGCATTGATGTGGGATGTTGCTTCGGTGGTAAGCAAATTCCTTCTTACAATGAAGGCATATCACTCTACCTTTATTGATGGTGCCATCGGGATGTTTTTGAAATGTAATTTTCCCATTTATTAGATGGACAACTATCATACGCTCCTCCCTTTTCACGTCTCCTCACCGCTCTTTACTCTGTCCCCCCAAGCGCAATAGGAGCCTATCAGTTTATGCTAAACAAGCATAAACACAATGACAGCCAATCAATGTCCATTTCAGGTGTGACTGACCATTGTTTTCCACCCCAACAACTCGAGCACAAGAAGCCTACACATAAAAAAACAGATTTTATAAAAAACGAAATGCAATTTGCATACAGCAACCAAGCACAATGGGATCCTATTAGTTTCTGCTAAACAATCCCAAACACAATGACAGCCAATCAATGTCCACTTCAGGTGTGACTGACCATTGTTTTCCACCCCAACAACTCGAGCACAAGAAGCCTACACATAAAAAAACAGATTTTATAAAAAACGAAATGCAATTTGCATACAGCAACAGTAAAGTTAGAGATTAAAAATTAGATTACTGCGATTAAACAACATAACACGTGAAATGTGTCTGTAATTAATTAATCAGATTAAAACAACAAAAACATTAAAATGCTTGTGTAGGAACACATGCACGCACAAACATAATTACATTAATAGATGAAAGAAGCCAAAGCACCCAAGTTCATCCTCTAATCCAGTGTCTCCGCATCATTATCAGCTCAAAAGGACAGTTTAAAGTCGAGAGCATTGAATCATTATAGCCCAGCATAGTTTTGTATTTTGTATTACTCCATGTCCACAATTATTCCCTGGCATAAACAACACTGCCTCTGTGTTTATGCATGATGCAGATTTTATGATTGTTGGCGTGAGCTCTGCATATCATATATATATATACAGTATATATATATATATACATATATATATATATATATATATATATATATGTGTGTGTATATATATTATTTTTTTATTAACCAAGCCCAGACCATGTGATAAACATAGATGGAAAACAATCTCTCTAGAAGTTGAAATCTATCATTTTTAGTTTATAAACCAAAGTAGATTTGCAACCCCACTACACTGTCGTTTGTCAGTGGTGCAGTGTTGTGAGGTTTGCTTTAGACTTCGACCTAAACAACAAAGGGTTCTTAACCAATAGTGGGGTTTTAACTGTCCCAGTCCATTAAACATTGAACAGGCCTTTGGAGCAGCAGCAGTCTTTGGTCTCTGGTGCATGGCCTCTGCTCCTGTTGAATCGATGCCACGGCAGAGCACACATACTGGGAGGAACTTTTATTAGGAGTCAGGGTTGCTCAGTGTCACAGCATCCTTCATCTTTCCCTGCCTCCTAGCTGCCTCTGAAACTCAATCCAAGCATGACTACCAACACTGACCTTATCAATAAAACTGTCTTCTTCATAGTCACTCATTGCTCAGAGCCCCGCATTACTTCTTCTATCAATCTGAGAGTTTCGGTTTTACCGGCAGCGTGCGTTTAACTGCCTGTAACGTAAGACTAATTTATATTCCACAGGATGTGTTTAAACAGTCTCAAAGCAAAGACCAAACTCTCCGTCTCTGTGTGTAGTTATAACTGATTTGGAATTTGCTGCGTGAGTGATCTTTTAATTTGGCTTCATGTGTCTTATCACCACACACAAAATGTCAAATTAGTGGGAAAACAATTTCAACAGCTTATCGTTTATTATTTCTCAAATTTTTATTTCATGGTTAACCTTGGCCTCGGGTGATTAGTGGTTGACAGTTGAATTTCATTAAGTACTTCTTTTTACACTGCAATGATAATACAAGGACATAAAGTCTCTGCCAAAGAGTTATGACTATGTTAATGGCACACAGTTTGTCAGTATTCATTTTTGTTTCTTTTTTAGTTTTATTTAAATGCTGGCTATTGTGAAAACAGTAACAGTTTGACGCTTTGACACAGACAATTTGTTTTGATTTGGACAGAAATTGCTGTCTGTTAAAGTTTAAGAAAATAAAAGAGTATTTTGCTGCTTGATGTCTTCACTTCAGGTCCCCATAAACCACACACCATTAAATTGTCCTGCTGAGCTTTGGTAGGTATATACTTCAACACTGCCTTTCAGTTTATTTTAAGTCGGTTACATATTTATAAATGTTTCTGGTTTGCACTTTAAATGTTAGTTTTTACTTCCAATGTTCCAATGTTTTCTTTTTCGTTTTGCTGGATAAATATTGTATTGTAATTCCATTACCTAATACTACTCATTATTTTTAATAAGATGTGTAGGGA